ATGATCTGTCCCCTAACACGCTGGATGAGCTATCCACCTGGTGCAGAGATGCGTCTGACCGTGATGTGTGGTTCCCCCGCACTCTGTTAATCACCGATGACGTCACATATCACGTGTTCTGTGATGCTTCGAAGCGTGCTTACTGCTGCGTCATCTACGCTGTGATCGATGGAGACTCTCGGCTAGTGATGGCGAAGTCTCGTTTGGCGCCCGTGACTCCTGCCCTCAGTGTGCCGAGACTGGAGCTGATGGCAGCCCTGATCGGCTGCCGCCTGATGGAGTTTGTTCGCAGTTCTCTGAGCCTGGACTCACCGCGAGTGGTCTACTGGACTGATGCCAAGGATGTCCTCTACTGGATCAGCAGCAAGAGGGCGCTCAAGCTGTTCGTCCACAACCGAGTGAAGGCCATCACCGAGATGTCGAGCCCCGAGCAGTGGCGTCATGTCTGTGGGGAGGACAACCCAGCTGACATCGGAACCAGAGGTATGTCCCTCGCTGTCTTGGAAAAGTGTGATGTGTGGTGGAAGGGACCCGCGTTTCTGAGGGACTCTTCAAGCCCTGAGCTGCCGCTGTCGGCCGCGCCTGGTGAGCGGCAGCTATCACCAGAGGCCGCTGTGGAAAGCAAGAAGGAGAGACCTGTAGTCAGAGAGAGTCTGGTGACCCAGAGGAGTGAGCCGATGCCGTTCGACCTCACCGAGTGTTCCAGTCTCGCACAAGCGGTGAACCGACTGACCTGGATACGTCGTTTTGTGTCCAACAGCCGCGCGCTGAAGGAGGACAGAGTGACCGGGCCGCTGAATCCAGAGGAGAGGCGGAGTAGCCTTCTCTTTCTGATCAGAGTGTCCCAGATATGTGTCTACCCCGATGAACTGAAGGCAGTACGTTCGGGTGAGCTGCTGCCTAGCGGGTCACCACTGACTAAACTCCGCCCGCAGCTCAGTGAGGAGGGAATCTTGCTGGCGACGCTGCGGACCGGCGAACGACCAGTCCCGATCCTACCAGAAGAGGCGCGCATCACGACGCTGATCGTAGAAGAGGCTCACCGCCGGTGCTTCCACCAGGGGACTCGCGTGACACTGGCCCTGCTCACCGCAGAGTACGCGGTAAGGCGGCGGACCGTTCGCCGAGCTGTGGACTCATGTCGCCGATGCCGTCGCTACCGATGTCTTCCCTACAGGTCGCCAGAGGGGGTGCTGCCGAGTTTTCGCGTGCAGCCGTCCCGACCGTTCGCCAAGGTGGGCGTCGACTATTTCGGGCCACTGTACGTGGACGGCAGCGCTAAAAAGGTATGGGTACTTCTCATCACCTGCGCCACCTCCCGTGCTGTCCACCTCGAGCTAGTTCACTCCCAGTCGACAGCTGACCTCGTCCTGGCCCTGAGGCGGTTCTTTGCGCTTCGCGGGACACCTGCGCTCATCTACAGCGATAACGCGAGGACCTTTCGAGCGCTGCTGGGTCAGCTCCCAAGGTGTGTCACCTGGCGGTTCATCCCTGAATCGGCCCCATGGTGGGGAGGCTTCTGGGAGCGCATGGTGGGTGTAACGAAGGCGGCTCTGCGTGCATCGTTGCACCTCTGTCATCTCTCCTTTGAACAGCTGTCTGTCGTTCTTTATGAGTTGGCGTTTTTTGTCAACCTGCGCCCCCTCACCCAGGGTGATGGGGAGGACCTGCTCACGCCAGCTCATCTGCTGTTCGGTGTGACCACAATCGATGGTGTTGTGTGCCCGACTCTGACGGAGTCCCCACTCAACAGAGCCTGGAGGCACCGCCGGAGGGTGTCTGACCAGCTGACTCGGCGGTGGAACGAGTATCAGCGCGCGCTCCGCTGCTGGCACCGGTCGCCGCGGGGGCAGCCGAACCGGACACCGGAGGTGGGAGACGTCGTGCTCGTCCACAACGAGGGGCCGCGCGGACGGTGGCCTCTCGCACGCGTGACCGAGCTCCTGGTCGGACCGGACGGCCAGACCCGCGCCGCGATCATTCAACTGCGCGGTCGCCGTACGCGCCGACCTCTCAGCCGGCTGTTTCGGCTGGAAGCGGCCCGTGAGGCGCCGTGAACCGGACCCGGATCGGTGGTTAGTCTGGTGACACGGTTGCGACTGTCCCGGTGCGCGCGCGATGCGTTGTTGTGATTTGTTAAGTTGCTGTACCTGTTTTCTGTTCTTTCGAAATCTCGCCCCGATTTCGAGTGGGGAGTATGTGCGAGTTTCCCCCTAAATACTTTCATCGCCGAAAATTACCCCTAAGTGATTGCTGCCATTTTTATTTGGTAACCTGAGTTGAGCCCAGTGGCGCCACACGCAACAATACAGAGTCACCTGTGAGACGCCGTGCTGTTTGTGCGTACCGATGCTACCAGAGGGATACCGACCGAAGATTCAACCGATTTAACTACATTAACGTAACGTAACTTTCAACAGAGGTCGTAAAGTTACTATCGATAAACTTTTCAAATAAACATTGAAAAAAAAAACACTTAACCTACCTCCAAATATTGGTAAGAAACCACAACACAAGTTGCAAGATTGGTGCTTTCGAGATTGCCGATAATATAAATATGGACCTGGGATTTTATTTTCATGTTGCGAGCATTCAATGAAACCAGGTTTTCACTTTTCAGTTCGGTATCGGTTTCACAGCTCCGCCGTTTGGCAGTGTTCGTGCCGCGATTTCCGAGCGGTTCGAGCCGTTCCCGGCGGCACGTTAGAACCCTTCAGTCCCGGCCCGGGGACGGCTGGCCGGACCGACGCCTTTGTCCGGCGGCGGCACCCATCAAATATGGAGCTGGTCCGCAGCAACAGGCGCTGCTGACTGCTCCGGAACGCACACTGGGGATGGATGGGAGACGGCCGACAGCTCCGCGCCGCCGGCCGCCGCTCCAAACGGCCAGCGGAAATAACTCACTTTCAGAGACGGCACAAATATAGACACTGAAGGTCCCGGCGCCAGAAAGGTGGCCTTTCTGCTCCCGAAAGAATGGACGGAGAAACAAAGCAGCACGGCATAGTCACATGCAATCTTGTGCAGCTGGTATTTATTACAGCATTCGTGCCTTTGATTGTTTGCCACACACTGCAGACCACAGTTTTATCAGCAGCTCCCTAGGTAGAGAAGGGGCTAAGCTCCTATTTTTTTTTATCAGCGCTGTATCTACAAACCAGTGCGCCGCAGGCGTGCACAACTTTCTACAGGTCTCCCACAGACATCAGAGCTAATGCTGAAAGAAGTTTAAATGACTTAAGGAAGCTAATAATGTAAGCAGCTTGAGGTTTTGAGCATGCTGTAATAACTTCTCATTTTTTCTTCAAAACTTAAATCCGATATTAATTTGAAAGTTACATCAAACGTGTTAGTCTTCGGACAGGTCGAAAAACTTGCAAGTTGCAGTCAGCGCAGATTCAAAAAGAAGTCATCGACTTTAAACGAGTTTTATCTATACCTTCCTCTAAATGCAGGTGCATTGTGCATTTGTAGGTGAGCCGTAATGGAGCCAGTCAGCTCAGGTCACCCGGATCACAGATCCATCGTGTCGCAGCTGACTGAAGTCTGAACCAACGACTACCTCCACTGGGTCGCTCCATTGGTTACCCTTCCCCCTCCCCCCACCACAACTAGCCGAGCCAAGGACCAACTCTGCTTTGAGCCCACAAAGCTGGCCGACTGACCATGACCGCCTCAGTCGGCAGACCGAGGAGGCAGCTGTCTGACAGATTGCCGGTCTGTGTAATGTGTTATATCAACCAGCGGGGCTGCAGTCTGAACAGCCACGCTGGTCTGTCATGTCAGCTGTATGACAGACCGGACCTGTGTGCCGGCGTTACACCAGCCAGCGCGGCCTTGTCTGCGCCACTAACAGTGTCAGATGCGCCACAATCGGCTCACCGGCGCCACAGCTGACACCATTGGCCACCCGTTGTCACACACAGACAGAGATACTGTACACAGGACCGTGGGAGGGTAGCAAACAGAGGCTGGTCCGGCGCGGCGGGGCTGGCGACATTCGGCAGTAGCATGAGAGGCTGATGGACCGTGGTCGCGACTCGTGAGTACTTAGGCCATGGGCTCACAAGGAAAGTATAGGATTGAATTTCTGAAATGCTATCGATTGAGGGCTTTTCGAGCAGAACACTTTACGTTGAACGTCATTGGTTCCAACATTTCGCGTGTGAAACAGTCATAACAAACCCGATGAATCTTCAATCTCAGATAAGGCGTCCAATATCGAATTGAACCCAGTCAGTTCAATATTGTTACGATCGTGAGGCGACAAAGCATGGATCTCAACTATAAACTATGTAAAGATGATACTTAACATGTAAATAAATAAAATAAAAATAATTATTTGCATAACAAACGGGTGGTTTAGTTCGCTTCCATTGAGATAGTTCTATCTGTTCCATTGCCGATTCAGCCCACTGAACCCTTCGCTGTTGCCTATCGAAGGCTGCCAAACAAACGGCGTTTTGATCCCGCCGAAGTTGGATCGGCCGGCCATCTATCGTGTGTTGGAGCCCGCTGCTGCCAGTCGAGTGTCCGTAATGGACCAACAATGATGGATCCCGCCCGGTCGGCCCAGAGTGGGTGGTGTGGGATGAATGCCGAACTAGCAGCGGCTTCCGAGTGCCAGGGCCGCGATATACTCCCCGTTCTCACCGTCAGAACACAGGGCACAGCTCGAGATTAATGGTTAATATGGTAGGACGAGCCTCTCTAACTGCAGCCTGGTTTATTGATTTAAGAGACTAATTCCGACCCAACTCGAACGAGGAAAAACAACGGAAATCTTGTTGCGACTTGTGTTCTTCCTCGCCGCCCTGAAGTTCAGCCTTTCATCAGACTGAATCTGTCCAGCCTTCCCTTTCAGAAAAGATAGCTTCCCGCCTCTTTGTAGTTCACCCATTCTCATTCTCATCTAATAAAATTATTTGAATAAATCACAATTCACCATGACCTTTTCCCATCTACGTTATCTTTCCAACGACCCGGATAGTGGCACTTACAGCGTTGTGTTTCAGTGAACTTGTCAGACTTTTTCTTGCGTTTCCACTTCCACGGTTTGAAGAGTCGGCCGAGTGAGGAGAGCTTGTGCCTCCGTTCGACGGGAGGTGTCCGCGAGCCGGAGCCGAGCCCGTCGCGACCCATCGTGCCGTTACTCTGCTTCCGCGCTGTGGGCACACGGGGGAGGGGGCCAGGTCAGCCGTCAGCGGTCAGCGGTCAAGTTAACAAGGTCAACAGACAGCAAGGTCAGTTCAGGTCAGGTCAATGGAGGTCAGCCGGGTATGACCATTTCAATTACGGTTAGAAATTAGAATGTCAAAAAAGGATTATATTCGTTTCGGTCTCCGGTCTCCGATAAAGGGACTCAAACACAGGGAATGTGAGCGCAATCACTGAAGAGTACATCAATAGGACCCCAGAGACCTGTGGAGACAAAGGTCCGAGGATACCGGACAGAGACCAGTGGGAGCGGTAAACCGCGGACAGAGACGGACGGCCGGAGATGGTGAGGGTGACCGGTCGGACCCTCCGAGACTTCAGCCGGAGTGGAACACCAAACACCGGGGGCGCCCACCGCCAGCTGAGTCCGAGGACGGTGACAAGTACAGATGGCCGCCGCTCACGGGACTACAGAACAAATACGGGGCGCGCAGCGTGCAAACATCCCGCCCACAGAAAAGTAGCGTGCTTCAAAGGAATCGTGATGTCACTCCACGGGCGGGACATGGCGGTGTTGTTGGTCAACGGCGTTTTGTTCCGAGAGAATGGGGCACGAGATAAGAGGAACTTTCGCTTCTACCATCAGCAAGTTTAAAATTCGGTTTAATTGAGGGATTAATAACAGTTCGGAAAGCTCTCTGTGCGTTGAAAAATGAACCAAATGAAAATTCAGGATATCGACATCCGATGGTCAATATCCAGTATCCGCCCTTGTTGAGCCGAATCCGTGGACAGCACTATTAATACCAGTGGCGATTGGACTGACCCAGCTGAATGACAAGTCGTCCCACCACTACAGGCGTTACGTGGGCCGTACCGTTCTGCACCCCCAGTCCACGCCTCCGGGCGGCGGCGCCCAGACAGCACTGCAAGGTGACGAGTGCCGCCGTCACGTGACCGCGCCGGCACGCGATCCCACTGCACAGATAGACACGAACATGGGACGACAATAGAGCCTGGCGCCTTTGTTTGGCGGGCTCCCGAAAATATAATATGTACGGAAACAGTTCCTGGTGTGCAGAAATGTGGCTAAAGAGGATGTGGATTGCATCATGAGTTCACCAGTTCTGGAAATGTGCCCCGCTGCCAAAATAATAGCGGGTTTAACCACTACGTCGCACACCGGACACATGCCACCACACGTCATTCCTGTCACGTTTACACAGCCCTTTACAAGTGACGATGCTTCAAGGAAAATCACACTTATCTGCATACATTCCGGGCATGCATGCTCATGTTCCAGCGCAACGCAGCGCCAGATACCACCAAGAACACGTGTGAAAAGTCGGCACACCCTGGCGGTGCCAGATATACACCAAAATCGTGCCGCACGACTGAAGCAGGTTCATCATGAAACTACGATACAACACGAAAAAGCACATCCTCTTCACCAGCATGCATCCATGCAGTGCTACAAAAAAAGGACGTACGCGAATCTACGCCCTCATCTCACCACGATATATGAATGTTTTGCGAGATTGGCGGCACGATGCATATGCCACCACTCGCCGTAATGAAACCAGACACGCAGCGGGGCCCACATGCTCAGCTATGAATGAATCTCAGCCGTCCTTCCCCGCCGCGTCTCAGGCAATCTACAGATGCATTCTCGAAACCCTTCGCCAACGTTCCGGAACGCCAGCTATATATAACCTCAACATATCGCTCTTAGCGGATTACGACAAAACTGTCTGCTCCGTCACACAATCCACAGTACGGGTATCAGCACTTCAATCACCACCACAGACAGGCCGCCGGCAGCTGCGACAAGTATATATCACCATTGGCCCTCGATAAACATCACACAAACCGTTACATCCCGCTCAAGCTAATAAACCGGTACTATACTTTACAGCGTCCACAACATTAGAGCCGAGGATGCCATCCCCAGCCGTTCCGACAAATTTTAGCAGCGCTTATCGAGACAAATCATCTCCGCGCCAGCTCCCGCTGTTGAGGCATCTTTTCACCAATCGCCATGAGCCCGCGGCAGAACGGACGGCGGGCGGCAGCAGCGCGAACCGCCGGGTCCCGCCGGGGCGCGTCATACCCTGCCCGGCTTCCAGTGAGCTCAGAGCGCACGGCCGCCCTCGGCTGTACCGTCTGCAGTTCCAGGAAGGCACCAAAGCCGTGACGCCCGGAGGAGCAAAGCCGGCTGTCTGCCCGACACATTTCGGCGCTCATCGCTCATTTCACGGTGATAATGAGATGGCGCGGCGACGGCCGGCGGTACTGAGATCATAATAAGCCGACCTGCTTGAAAACGTAAGACTTAATGATAAAACATGCTTGATATGCATCATCGCTAAGGCCATATAAAAGTCATTTGAAAATCCTCACAGCGTTGATATCAACATCTAAAAACGCTGTAGTCTAAAAATCTACAGCTTCACGGAAATGTCTTTAATCCAACGCAAACCCTCAGCCTCGCGTATTTTTAAGAGCTGCAACATTTTAAATGTACTGACGCTGTCATTCGATACCGTAAGGCCAAGGCAGCAAGCGACGCATTTAGCGAGGGTTCTAAGAACTGATCGAATTGGCCGATCGGCACCCGGAAAAGACGACACTGGTTGACGCTTTTGGCGCATTTGCGCACGCCTGGGCACTCTGCACCTGACGTCGATTCGGCGTGCAGGCATGCCGTTGTCAGCATCTTCAATATAAACTTTGATGGGTGGATTACATTAAACAGTAATGGACTCATAAATCACATAATCGCATATTACGATTACATTTTAACGATGGCAAATCCCTTCATTCGTCAGGGTCAAGCAACAAGTCGGATGAAGTCGATCAAATATAAAGCTGGCTAGAATTTAACAAGAAGTGTACCTCAAGTGACGATGGCTATTATTGAACATCAATTAGGTACCATCGCTCACAAATATTAATTTCAATTAAACTATCCACAAACATGATTACATTCCTCGTTACCTACTAGGGCTAAGTCGGATTTGTGTCTTTGACGGCTTGGTGCTAAGATGTTTGGGGAGTTCAGAACCATTTCAGCGATGTTAGTTTCGTAAACAAGCTCTCAGACAGCGTTCTGACAGTGCAGCGTTCCCTGAGCGCATTCAGTTGGAATCCCAGTTGCTGAGGAGTTAAATGCTGACGTTAAACCACGTCCACCAGTCGGCTCGCTATAAGGAACGTTGTTGCTACCCGGCGTAAACGAAGGATTGTGGCGTGTAATGATTCACACAAACATTTACGCGACAAGGTATGTGTCACAGACATCTCCACACTTATTTGAACATGAAATTGCTGGTATGGGATTTGCTAAACGTTAAATGCATGCCTTTGGGATCAACCGATGAAGACGCCATAAATAATGGTCGCGGCGCCCGTGGGTTTGTCGAAAGTGCTTTACGAGGCTGTCCGGCGGTTGTGAACCCCCTTGTTTGTGGGTTTGTTAGCCGTACTTCATGTAACTGTTGTGGCGGACAGGGCCGGCGCGATGCCAGCTGGTAGCACGGCCTGCAACGGTCTAATACGATATCAGGCAATTAAAAACACGGACTGGGCCCAGAGAGAGGTAGAGAAATGCCACACTGATCATCGGCGCCAGAACGAAGCGGATGCTTATTTCATAGACGAGCCCAAATGCTTGCACAAAAGGTCCGTGATATCCACCCATGGCTTTAGTGCGCACTGGTCGTTGCATCGACGAACTCCCATCAAATGCCCAGCCAAAAGATCAAACAGGTTAAGTCACTTGCAACAGGTGAAGTAAATGCTAGATTTAGTTATCATCTACCGGAAAACGACAAACAGTCCCACCAGTCATAGGACTACCGCATTCACACTGGCGCGGACGAAGCCACTGAATGTCGCTCTACCGGCAGCGTAGGCGTGTGGAGTGGGATCTCAAATCAGTGCCCTTTTCAGTGAGTCTTGCCAAACCAGAGCCTGTTCTCTGTGGATCGGTCTGACCTTCCGGCATCTGTCCGCCTCCAGTGCCGCGGCCGACGTGTCCTAACAGCTGAGACAGAGTGGCCGCCGCTCCCAGACCAAAGCGGTCCCTCGGGCTCGGGCGGCGGTCAGCGCGGCCCGCTAGGACAGCCAGTGTCCTTCGGCGACCTCCGTACTCGGCGAGACCTGGGGCTGGGTGAGCGAGACCCGAGACCGGCACTAGACTCCGAGCAAGCCGTGGTTAATGCTGGCCAGGCCGAGAATGGACGGACATTTACCAAACAAAGCGAGACCACAGTTATAAGTGGAGTCGTCAGGTAGATTGAGCACGGCCTAATGCGTCGTTTGGTCGACGTCTACGCGCGGTGGCTGTCTCATTACCTTGAATAAAGTCATAAAGCCAACTCTAGTGACGATTAGGTCCATTAGGGAGCGCGGACACGTGAGAACTGCGGCCGAGACTCAAACCACCGTGGCCGCATTCCGGTCGAGCCGCGTGACTGCCTCTGATGACGAGCGACGCGAGAAACGGACAAAACCAACAGCAAACGGCAACCAAACTACACATCACCAGCGTCTGACGAACCGGCGTCTCGCCAGCCGTCACCACAAAATAAAGAATGACATGACCTCGACCCAGCAGTCAGCGCTCAGCGCTGGGCGTCACCCACGCTCAGCGCTCGGCACCAGCTCCGCTGAGCGCTTACCATCAGCTGCCGTCCACTGCCGTCGCCACTCGCCTGAAGAGTTCAGCGAGCGGGTGAGGGGACGGCAGTAGCAGCGGCGGCGGCGGCTGGTGCCTCTCTTGTCGCTATTGATCGCGCCGGGTCCGATTTCTGCCCGGCTGGGCTGCCGGCGCGGCGGCCCGGTCCCGACTGCCGACGCGGTTCCCGAGTCCCGACTAACGCTGTCGGGACGGCCGAGAGCGGGCCCGAGAGGAGTTAGGAATCAGCAATGTCGGGGATCGGCGCTGAACAGAGCGGACACAGAGTGGGGAACGGGGGTAACATCGTGAAGAGGTAACCAAAAACGG